GATTGAAAATTTGAACAAGATATAGGGAGAGTGTGAAATAATAGTAGGAATTGAATAACTAAAAAAAAGCACAAAGGAAAACATAAAAACCGCAGATTCAATAGAAAAGCTTTTTCGATATATTATACAGTTGGCACATCAAAGCGAATTTCAGAAAATTTTGTTTGGAGAAACGTTGTAATTTAAACAATTTTAAGGAATCGCCAAGCATGAAATTGTAATTTGCAATTAAACAATGAGTACTATTTTTTTCTACCCAGTTCCCTATTACTAGTATTTAATCCGAATAAAACATTTTCTATTACTAGTTACTCTTAAAACGCAACTTCTTTTTTCCACCGTGCAAAAGTCCTTAAATACCTGATGGTTTTATTGATGTAAATATAGACAGGGAATAGAACAAAAGGAAGTAGAATATAATAAATATAGTAACATATTACATGCAAGTTAACATTTTCTGTAACTATAGTTTATCTACGGTAAGAACTCCCCCTGTCACAAAGTCTGAGGCTGTCTGTTGCTATGGAAACAAGAATAGCGTTCATGGAGGGTAGCTTCTCTTCACTCTAGAGCTAACACAGTAGACCGAAGGAAAAATTTCCCTTTTTTTCGCTGACCCGAGCCGAAACCTGTCCTAAACAATTACCACACATCCCTAGTTATACCTCGTTACCATAGTCACCGCCACGGGTCCAGACGAATTTGTTTGGGGAGTTCTTACTATAGACAAACTATAGTTTGCTGCTCCTCTTACCGCATCTTTATTCTTACAGAAGTGCTATGACAAAATCAAAGAATCAGATGAAAAAATCAAAAGTGTTAGCTAATTTTTCTCACGGTAACTGGCTAGCTAACTTTTTTCGAGGACCTTTTAAACTAGTTTGTATATGAACATTACAAAAACATTCCATAGGATTTGTTACACACATATGTGTTTACTTTAAAGTGAGACATTTTTTGAAAGGCATAAATAACTTAACCTTAACCGTGGTAAATATATTTAACAGTAATACCACTTTTAATTTAGTGAACCATTTGTTATTAATTTATTAATTATAAGACTTGTAAGCTGAAAACTACAAAGATGTGTATAAAAATGTACAGGGAAGACAATGGAATAAAAAAAATTAACATTCAATAATTATTAACTGTTAAACTTCTTGAAAGGTTCTTTCTTTGGTCTAGGCTAAACAACACCATACGGGTCACGGGAATGGCAACTGCTGAGTTGAAATTTGGTATGATGAAAAGGCCATATTTATTTATGAACTGGGTTTTTATCAAAATTCCAATTTATTCGAAAGTTATGGAAAAGTTCATTTCTTTTTCGTGATTTTTTTCCAGTTTTTTTAACTTCTTTTTTTATCAAGTTCACATGATTATTTTTAAAATCCATCACGTAATCTTCCATTTGGTTAATTTCGTTATGATTAACATGTTAACAAAATGTTCTTTTAAAAAGCTACAATAATTGTATAGTTAAAAAACAAAATATTACGTGTTTTTGTGGAAAATATCGGCTCTTAAGAGGGGGGGGGACAATAATGAAAGCGAAGCGGTTTACGGGGGTTGGCGAGCAAAGGGCGAGTCTCTTAGTAATATTAAAAAAATATATATAATAAAAATTAAGAAAAATATTTTGAAAAAATCACTCTTACAAAGAAAAAAACACATCCAAAAGATAAAGAGTGGTAATTAAATGATTTCATTTTAACATTTATTTTTCAAAATTAAAATGTTCATATGACCGTTAAAATATATGATTAGTATAAATATTACACACATATATATCGCCATTACAATACATTTTTTATTCGAATATCTTTACAACGATATAATATCATGAGATAGCGATTTTTTTTTCAAATAAAGATGGTATCTAATACTAAAAAATGCTATTTTTAAAAGTTTTCTAGACGGTAGGTAAAGGTAAAAAAATTTTGAACAAAAATTTTACAGAATCAAATTTATCAAATGATAAAAAGAGAAGATAATCGTAGGATAACTATAATTGATAGGATGCAAACGGAAAATATATTAATAAAAAACACAAGTTCTAGAGAACTAAAAATAAAAAGTTTGAAACAAATAAGAAAAAGGAACTTACCAAACGAAAACACGCAAACATATTCTCCCTATTAACATTTTTTAGGAAAAACCACTATACAACAAGTCTAATGTTTCGTACAAAAAAAAAGTAAATAACACAGAAAAGCAACAACTATTTTTCACATAGAAGGCGACATGCCTGTTGGTCGACTCGTATAATAATAAAACGCTTTTAGAAACTCGACTTCCCATTAGAGGTTGTTGTGTTTTTGTTTGGGTTGCCACAATAATATGATTATCTTTGTAGTTGCCGCCAAAGCGGAATGTAATTTCATCCTCTCCGAGAAAACAGTCGATTCACGAAAGAATGCGAGGGGAAAAATAGGCTCACTATTATTTTAGGAAACAGTAGATACTATGCAGTTGTAGACACGCGCTTGAAACGTAAAAAAATATGCATTTATAAATAGAAACAAGCTCTAAAAATAGAAATATGTTCTTATGGCTGTATCAATAAATTGCTAAGTTGTATGAATAATTTTATTGGGCAATACGAAAATAACTTGCAATTTATAGATTTTTCTAATATTAAAAGAGATTTAAGCTGTACGTTAAAAATAGCTTTTATATTGTTCATGATGTGAATAAGATTATTACACAATTTTTGCAAAATCATTTGAGAAATTGAAAAGTTACAATAGCAAATATCAAATATAAAAAGCAATTTGCAGGTGAGCTTTTTATTCTAAACGCGGCTCCAGAAACGTGTTTAAGAAAATAGAGCTAACTCGAAATGCGTGTTTAAGAAAATGAAACTAGCTCAAAATGCGTGTTTAGGAAAATTGACGCAGCTCAAAAAGCGTGTTTAAGAAAATGGACACATCTCAAAATACACGTTGTCTAAGAAAATGGACAAATCTCAAAATGCATGTTTAAGAAAATGGACAAATCTCAAAATGCATGTTTAAGAAAATGGACACAGCTCAAAATGGATTTTTAAGAAAATGGGCACATCTCAAACTGCGTCTTTAAAAAATGGACATATCTCAAAATGCGTCTTTAAGAAAATGGACACATTTAAAAATGCGTCTTTAAGAAAATGGACACATCTCAAAACGAATTTTTAAGAAAATGGACATATCTCAAAATGCGTCTCTAAAAATGGACACATCACAAAATGCGTCTTTAAAATAATGGACACATCTCAAAATGTGCCGTTATAAAAATGGACACATCTCAAAATGCGTTTTCTAGAAAATGGACACATATCAAAATGTGTGTTTAAGAAAATGGACACAGCCCAAATTGCATGTTTAAGAAAATTGAAAAAGCAATTTAGGAAAATGGACACAGACTTGGATTCCGTTTTTCAAACTTCTCTTATGAAAATTTTACTTTTTTTAAAGGCACAAATGGATCCAAAAAATTTGTAATATGATGTCGTCATTTTCCTGAATCACTTGGAACATTTTTTATCAGTCTTTTTTGAAAAGATATTAAAAGTCAACATTTCTTTTTATCAAGTTGTTACAGGTTCTATAAATTATAATGGTGGCATAAAAATAGCATTGAAGTTAGATTTTTTCGAACTATTTTATCGTTTAATGTTCTGAATACGAAGAGATACCTAAAAAGTTACATCTGTAATCTGCCCAGCCACCCTGAATTCAGTGTTTTTGCCATATAATGATTATGCTTAAAAAAAAGTAAGCATAAGTTAGCACGTTCACGCCGGGAAAAGGGAAAATACTGGTACGGGAAAAGAGAAAATACTGGTAGAAGAACTATTTCAATATATATACAATAACAATCTCATATATACAATAACAATATCTCAACAATAACAATTCACTGTAAGGAAATTTATCACGGCGAAGAAGCAATTCAATATAAAAATTGCATCCGTTAAAAACAATTGGTAGTTATGGATTTTTATTATTCCCGGAAAAAAACTAAAAAATGAAATTTATTGTTACCAGTTTTTACTCTGGTGCGCTGCCCAGATGAGACAATCTAGTGTGACCCATCGGTGGGTCACCCCGGCGTGAACGTATTAAGTACAAAATTATTCATTCAGTTATTAAATTTGAACATTGAAAAGTCATATTTTTTGCTGAGTCCATTTTTTGAAAACACTCATTTTGAATTGCGTCCATTTTTTTAAAACACGCTTTTTGAGTTGTGTCTATTTTTGTAAACATGTTTTTTTAATTACGTACATTTTCGTAAACACGCCGTTTGAGCCGTGTCCATTTTCTTAAATACCCATTTTGAATTACGTACATTTTCGTAAACACGCAGTTTGAGCCGTGTCCATTTTCTTAAATACCCATTTTGAATTACGTAGATTTTCTTAAAACCCCATTTTAAGGTATGTCCATTTTATAAAATACCCATTTTGAACTACTTATAACACATATTTTAAGCTGTGCCCATTTTCTTAAATACGAATTATTAGTAAATTATTTAAATAGTTTATGTTAGTTAATATAGTTTAAACAGTTTTATTAGTTTATATAGAATAAAGAATCATATTAGTTAATAGAATTTGAAAATTAGTTAATAGAATTACATTAGTTTAATAGAATTACAGCTGATTTACACAGAAGGGACCGCAAATAACTTATGTCTTGCAGAAAAGAATGGAATAGCAAGAGGTTTGACGTCCCGCAATTTGGTTAAAATAAAAAAGTTTAAAACTAGCGAATTAAATACTTTTATATTATTTGTTTATATCTTTTTTTTCTATTAAAATACACATCATATCATTGTTATTATATTGCTTACAAATGTTTAAAGTGATAAAGGTAAGAAGGGTGTCAAAAATATTGAAAAGAAAATAATAAGAAAATAAAGTGTGGTATTACTAAAGAACGGTTGCTAAATAAAAAAAAATTTACAAGCCATTTTGATTATTAAAATTACTATAAACATTCGATATTTTTACTTACCTTCAATCTTTTTTCCGATTAATAATTCAGTGTAAAAAAAATTTTTTATTTCATCACTTTTTCATCTTTTAGCCATTTCTTTTTCTTCATGAATTCATTGGGCGAAACTGTAAAAAGGAAAAACAAATATATTACTAATAGTTTTGTGTAATCGAATAGATTAATTATTACCTTGACAGTTAAACCTGATAAGATTATCGATAATTACAAGAAAAGATCACAAAGGATTGTTACGCATAACACATGATATATAAACGATGATAAATAGTTTTAAGATAAAAATTTATCGAGGATAAAAGTTTACACTTTGTAATTATATTTTTCTATGTGGAATTAATCACTTAGAAACACTATAATTACTTAGAATTAGAAACGTTTTGCTTGATGTGTTTTTAAAAATCAGTGATTATTTTAATAATCAGTGATTGTTTTGATATTATGTATTTCAGGAAAGATATCCTTTCGCATTCTTTATGTGTGATAATCATGGTAAGAATGTTGATGACTTTTGATATTTTATTTTTATAACCGACGTTTTACAGCCGAGTTTAGGACTATCAATATTCAACTCCATAGTCTTGTAATTTTGAACCCAACAAGGAGACAAGAAACTCCTGGATCAAACAATGGAATAAACTAGTCTGCATGGAGGACTTTTTGATGGAACTAACTCACATTTGCACTACATGGAGAGAAAAACCACGAAAACCTTCCATGGTTAGCCTGACTGCAAGGGGACTCCAACCCATGATCCATCAGGGGTCTGTCCAGACATTTTGTGAAAGGTCCGTTTTTCGTGAAATTGTGAAAAAATTACTCACATTCTTTCAACCAGGGTCCGCTTTTATGAATTTGCGAAAATAGGGTCCGTTATTGCAAAAAAAAACTTTTTCAAGGAGTTTATTTTTCAAGGAGTTACAAGATTATGCTCTGCACTGTAAAATTATAATAAAAAAATTTAAATTTTTAAAAATAAACAACAATTGCTGCTTCTAAATTAGAGATGCAACATACAAATATTTGGTATTTAGCCTATACTGCTGAACGCAGAATATTCATTTCGGACGAATAATGGAAGAATCGTCTGCCGAAAACAAAACTTAATTCGTTTACATCCATCTTTCTTGTTATCTGCCCTGGAAAATGTTTATTCGATTAACAAAATAATAATGAAGATAAACAAATTTGTGAAGGGTTCGATTATAAGAAAAATCATTTTGTGAAGGGTCCGTTTTTAAGTTAAAATATTTTGTGAAGGGTCCGTTTTTATGAAAAGATATTTTGTGAAGGGTCCGTTAACGGACCCAAATTTCTTCTAAACAGACCCCTGTCCATCTACCACTGAGGATATTTTACGTCAGCACTGTGAGTGGAGTGCAAGCGGGAGCAGAAATAGTATCAACCACTGCTGGGATTCGAGCCTGGGTTACCGCAATGGGAGACGAACGCTATATCATCAGCATGACCTACCGCGGCTCATGTTTATAACTTAAACTTTTTTTAAAAAAATGAGCTTAAAAATGCAAAAAAGCTTCTAAAAATCAAAACAAAATTCCTTAAAATAAAAAACAATGCCCTTAAACATTTTCAAAAACAGGTTTTATAATTACTTCTTTAAAAAAAATATTAATTGTAGTTAAATTATAATTTTATATAAAGATTATGGAAATTATTAAAATAAATATGTAATTTATGAAAGAAATGAAGCCCTATAAAGATAAATTGGAATTTATTAATTTTTAGTTACAATTTTCAAGAATATCCCAATTGCATTTGTATTATCAAATGTTTTTGATGTTTTTAAAATAAAAGGAATATATGTTGTTGAAAAACAAATTCTTATATCTTGAAAAACTGTTCAACATTTAAAAAAAATCTAAAAATTTAAAAAAATTACAAAAAAAAAAACCTAAAAAAGAAAAAAATTACAAAAAATGCAACAAAAAATTTTTATGACATTTTAACCTTGATGATTATAGTTTTGATATAGTTAAGGTCAAGTTAAAAACTACATTTTTCCCCTCGAAATATTTTTTATAGTTATGTTTGTTATAACGAGTTAGAAAAATAGTTTATAAATTGATTGTCAGCGAAATGTCATGTAATTTTAATCGTAATAAATCCAGTAAAACTACATATTTTAATTTTGTGAAATAACGTTTTTAATAAGTATTTTGTAAATCAAGTTAAGGTAGAATTTTAATATACGATATCAATTCCTCTAATTACGACATAAATTGAAAATATTTTGGTTTGTTCTTTTTTATTATTAGATTAAATTTTTTAAGTACTTGGTACTATACTGTTCTAGCCTATTTTTCAAAGTAAATTCGATAATTTGTTGAACAGAAATTTTGAGGATATGATTTATTAAAATTTATTTACTATAATATGTATTTGTCAATTTCATTTAATAATATTAATTGTTGCAGAATTTTTCTACATTTTAGTAATGGATGCTTTTGCATATTTTCGTCAAAAATCAACAATACAAATTTGGAAAGCTTATTCTTACATTTAAAGTGCCACGATATCAATTCGCATACATGATTTCAAATTAGTAATCAATAAATTATTTTGGTAATAATTGGTTAGTGATTGTTCATAAGCCTAAAATCTATGTTTACCTAAAATCCTTTGAGACGAAACTTTTATTAAACATACTTTTCATATTTTTTCATTGTATTAATTCTATTAATATAGGTCAAAATAAGTGAAAAATATTATATTTAATAATTTATTATTATGGTTATGAAATTATGGTTATGCATTTATGGTTATTTATGGTTATGGTTATGGTTATTCATTTTAATAATTTATGGTTATGAAATACAGTATGAAACACCTGTGTTTTTTTCTGCGTTAAAGGTAAAATCTTCAAAACACGATTCACTTCCAAACAATAATTTTTCAAATTTGCACTTATTTGCAGTTATCTAGTTCTAAGAGAAACAGTTATTCATCATTGAAATTTCCTTAATTTACAAAATCAGTTATTAAATAAATTTTTAAATTTAAATGGAAAAAAATAAAACTTTTTTTTTTCGATTTTAGTACAAATATAGTTCTGATAGTCTAACAGATTTTTTGTAACTGTTAGACTGTTTTTTATAATTTAAAAATGCCAAAATATTTTTTCTGCTGGTAATTAGAGCGTCTGAAAAAAAATATATATAACAGGAACATCGTTATGCTATCTGCGTTAAAGGGTTAAAATATTTTTTTGAAAACAGTCAAGTGTTATAAAAACAAAAGAAAAATAACACAAAATTAGTTGACAATAAATAAACAACAATCAAACGAAAGTTTTAATAAAAATATGCCTTGTTAATTAAATGAAACTAGGAGGCTCCGCCCCCTGCTCGCCAACCCCCGAGAATTGCTACGCAATCCTATGTGGTTCACGCAGTGAACCATGGCTCGCTGCGCTCGCTCGCCAATGAACACAATGTTCTAGCACAAAGACATAATATATTATCATCAAAGACATAGTATTTTATCATCAAAGACATAGTATTGTACTTATGTAGAAGAATTCTACCAATGTTCTTATTGGCTTTTAAAAAAGTATATTAGCTATTTAGATTGTACATGGTGAAAAAATCAAAACATTAGCTAAATAAGAAACATATTAGCAAAATAAATTATCAAATATTGCTTCACTAATATTCTGCATTTTAAAGCGTGAAAATTCAATGCATAAATAAACGCGAAATATAAAAAAATTCAATGCACTCAATACAAACACTTAAACGTTTTTTAGACGTTTAGGTAGCTCCCAGTAGAAAAATATCAATTCAACAGCGGCCTTTTAAAGCATTCTCACTTCAATTAATTAATTAATTCCTAATTGAGTTTAAATTAAATATTGTCATGTTTTTAGTGCATGAATCTGAATTGAACAACCTGATAATGCTCACTCTGGTTATTGTTATCTGGTTGCTCACTACGTGCTCTTGCGCGCCGAATTCAATCATTTAAAAAAGAAAACTGTTGCCAGCGCGAGAAAAGAAATATCATCGGTTTTATTGATACATACATACATACGTACGTATTAGCGTTTTATATAATATAGAAGATATTTATTTTAAAGCTAATAAAATTGAAATGTTACGCCTAATTATAGAAAATAAATATATAAAACAAAACAATATCTCACAAACAGCTGACACACTTTAAAGAAATTAACTGATTTCAACATTTTTTCAAAACAGTATTTCTCTTTTTCAAAAAGTCTTTTCGATTGCAGCAAAATATTTTCATAATTGGTTAATTTTATTTTGTATGTCGCAATCATGGTGTGAAAAACGAAGTTGATTCAAACAATAAAAATAATGTAGCGAAACTCAAATAACAAACCACATCGTTATTTTACTACTTCATATTTAACATATGAAGGCTAATTTTTTATGAAGGCTATGATTTTAGGCTAATCGTATATTTTATTGCTGAAATAAAAAGCAGGGTACTGAAACTGGTAGTAAAACCTGTTACCTTCCGTATTTTATCCTTATTAAACCTGTTATCCACCTTATTTTTGGGAGGGATAAAATTTCTTAAACTAACTACGCTTATTAATTAGTTATATGGTACAAAGAGAACTATTTATTATCTGGAAAAAAAGTGAATAATGGAAGATAATTTATAATCATAAATAATCAGCTTTTACTTTACTTTAAAAGAAAATCTAGAAATGAAATGGTTCTACTGTTAGTTATTTTTCCTTTTGTACAAAGCTTGAAATAGTTAAACTTTAGCAAATGTGATGTATTAGGAATAGTAAAGTCTGTATGATTACTTTTCGTTTAGCCGGGCGCAAGCAAAAAGTCGCCAAAAAATTTAGACTTCCGCCAACTTTTTATTAATTTTTTTTTATTCATTTATTTTTTCAAACGAATAAAAATTAAATAAAATTTTAAAAAATAAAATAAAATAAAAAGATTAAAACAAAAAAGAGTAGAATTTCCTTGTGCCCAGCAAACCGAAAAGTACCGTAGCGTCTGCAGCAGAACTTCTTTTTGTTGATGATATCTAAGAAGGGGTTCGAATAGGTTAAAGGTCGTTTTCGCTGCCATATGCTTTTAAAATATGACCTTGGACTTCTATA